TTCATCATAAGAAGAGTTATTCTCAATAATATCATCATCCCAATGACCTAATGAATCAACAGTATCAATTATATATAGATATAATTTATTTTATATTCCAATGTATTGTTTGAATATGTATTAATAATGACTAAACAGTAAATAACTAAATGAATTAAATTATTTTTGTTTAATATATCTTTAATTCAAATTAGTTGGAAAATCCATTTATTGTTGTGTAACACTTTCTTCTTCCATGTTTGTGGATGGTGTTTTCTCATTTGGAGACTCATCCATAGACATGCTTGTAGCGAGAGGTGGTTCAGAAGGAGGGTTGGTGTTATCGTCACTTTGACTAGATTCTAAACTATTTGAGTTTTCACTTTGAACCTTATTTGTACTAAAATCACTCGTATCACCTGGTTGTTTCAGTTGTTCAGAACCAGTTATTTCTGTTGATTGGTAATCACTACCATTACCATCTTTAGTATTTGCAGAGTCATTACCTTCTGACTCTTCCAATTCAGATGTATTGTCTTGTAGATAGGCAGTGATACAAAGAGCATAACCTTTTGACTCAAATAAAAATTTAGTACCATCTTTAATGTCTTTGTCTACTGGCAATATAAATTGAAGTTCAACCTGTCTATCGTGTAATGTATGTCGACACACATAATATCCTTGTTCTATATCCTTTGATGTAAGAGAGACTTCTATGTTTTCTTGAGTGATGTTTTGTTTTTTGATTATAATAGTCCTATTAAGACAAGTACCATTCATTTCAGACCCTCTCACAGTGAGGGTTATTTCGTTTTCTTCCTTTGGAGATACATAATAATTCTCTTTTTCAATAGTGATGTTTACATTATTATTTACAACTATTCTCGGCAACTCAACAGTAAATATTTCTTTTTCAAATTCAGATGGGTCGACATACATAGTAATATTCTCTGTTTGACTTTGAGGATTTACATTATATTCAATTCCATGAGAATTCATTATTTCTTTAAAACAGTTACAAATAAATGTTGGTACATATATTTTATATTCATTAATTTCTTGTCTGATAGTTTCATTCTCTTTTTTTAATTCTCCATTCTCTTTTTTTAATTCTTTCATAGCTTTTTTAAGTCCATCTATTTCTGATTCTTTTTTCATTCTTTCTTCTTCTGCTAACTTTCTTTTGGCATTATCTAACTCATTTCTCCATTGGGCTTCTTGTTGTTCTGATTCATCACGAGTATTATCCATGTCTTTATTATATTCTTTGTATTCAGATGTTATTTTATCAATTAAATTGTCATATTGTTCAAACATTCTTTCTAACCGTTCATTAATCTCTTTGGATAATTCTTCTGGTGATTCTTTCTTAGAAGTAGATTTACCAAATAAGCTATTAAAAGATGAGAACATTCCTGAACGTTCTTGTTTGTGTGTGTCTTTATCTACTTCTTTTTTTATTTCTTTGTAGAATTGTACTGCACTATTCCAATTTTGAATAATCCAATCCTTTTTTTGTTGTTCATTAGGACATTTAGAATATGACTCTGGTGCAGTTATTTCTAACTTAAATTCTCTATAAAAAGAAGTTGAAGTACTAAAAACAAGACACAGATTTACCACATCCTTTACTTTGTTGTACATTTCATTGTTTCTAAAAGATGTGACTTTTTTCTCTTTACTAAAACCAATTATAAAATTCTGGTCTCCTTCAACTAATTCTAAGAATTTTTTTTTTAATCTTTCTTTTAAAGAATCATAAATATTATTACAGAACTTATTCCATCCACTATAACTATCTATTTGTTTAGTACTGTATTTTAACAAATTAATACATTGATTTAAATATTTAATTTTTTCATTTACCTTGTTAATGTAATAATCTCGATATTCACTGCTTAGACATTCTGTCATTACAGTTCTTGCATACTCAATTGCTTCAAAGAGATTATCAAACATATCTTCTAAGTATGGCTCACTCATTAGTCGAATAATAAAAAACAGATCAATGAATCGTTATAAATATTAGATGGAATGATGTTTAATCAAAAAAAATATTTATAAATCTATTTTTAGTAATAATAATGCAAATAAAAAACAAAAAACTTAAATAAAGAAGAGTAATATGTTATTTAAAAAGAAGAAAAACAAAAAAGAAATAATGAAAAACTGATTTATTGGTCGAGTTTGTTATAACCAGCATTTGAATTTAAAGAACCACCGATTAAATAAATGAAGATAATACCAACAACAAGAAGAAGGAAGAAAGAGAACCCAACAATAAGATTTTGAAGAGAAGCACCTGCAATAGGTTTTGTAACAGTTTTACAAGTAATTCTAGAAGTAGAGCCACTAGCAGAAGCACAAGGAGGCATTGAACGATATTCATTCCAACCACAACAATCAAACTAAAGAAAAGTTAGAAATAAAGAAGGAAATAAAAGAAAAGAAGAACAAACAATATCTTCCCAATGAGCCAATGTTTTTAAAGAGGTATTTGTTGTTTTAACAAAAGAACCATAAGTAACAGCAAAGTAGACACCGAAGGAGAAAGCACACATAACACCTAAACCAATTACAATGTATGAAAGCAAACACATCCAATCTTTTTGAACAAAAGAAGTAGCAATCATCATTCCACCTGCTACCATAAAGAGAACAGCAAGAGAAATCATTATTAACATAAAGACTGTTTTACTATAGAATTTTAAATCTGAACTATTTAATTTAGTGGTATTTGGCATTTTTCTTATTGGACCAAATATTGTTAAAAAGATTAATGCTGTTGAAGCAAGAACAACAACAACTCCAAGAACAAGAAGTGAAAGGTTATATATTCGTTGTTTTTCCATTAGTAATTTTAAGATTCATTTTTAGTTTTTCTCTTTTTTTATTTTTTTTTATTTATTTTTTATTTTATTATTTTAATAGTTCTTGTATTAATGCTTCAATTTCTATATTTATTTATTGAATCAAACTATGTTGAGAAAACAAAATACCAAAAATTTATTGATATATCTTTTGTACATTAAATCATTATAGAACCCTTTTGTATATTGAATTTAATATGAAACTTTGAATTGTTTTTGTTCTTATCATTTTAAAGAGTATTTATTAATTAAAAAAAGCATTATTACACTATCATTACTTAATCACTTTATTCAACATTAATATATATAAATGTAATGAGAAAATTGATTATTTAAAATGTAATAACCATTAGCCCATTATTTATTAACTTTTTTTAAAGAAGAATTTCTGTTCCTAAAACTATATACATAAAAATTCAAGATTGTTTGTGAATGAGAGTCTAATAACACTTTGTTATTTTTATTTATTTTTTGTTTGTTAGTTCTTTTTAATCTTCTCAATTAGATAGATATTGTTTTTGTCTTGTTTTTGTGAGTTCTAAATTTAACTTAGTTTATATGCTTCAAAACAACTCCCATTCTTCTTTTTGTAATTACACCAAAAAGAAAGAAACTAATGTATTAGAAAAGTATAAGACTTAAAAGTAAAACTCAATACTTATTGAGAACTAACCAAGGTTAAAATTTATCGTTTCTGATGACATCAAAAAAGTTTTAAGTACCAAATTTCATCAATTTAGAAATTAGAACTAAACGAATTGAGGAAATTCGTAACTATTTCATCTCATCAATAAATAACACAAAAATATTGAGTTTTGATATATGAGAGAATGTTGTTCACTCGCATCAATTTTATTTTCTTCAACTCTGACTTGTTTCCGCTCATAACTATTTCTATTTAAAACATTTGAAATATACTCCTCAATTAAATTCAATAATTTTATTTCATAGTTTGATTTTATTGTTCTAATAAATTTTGATGGTGAAACAATCAACTCGAAGAAAAATCTTTTTTTTTCATGAGTCACATCAAAGAAAAATAAAAAAAACAAAGTCATTACATCATCAATTCTCGTTTTAGAATGGTGTCATTCTTATGGTTGATTTCTTTTGAGTACTTCTAGGTTTATTTTTGTTTTAACGGCAGTCAAATTGTAAAACTATTTGAGAGGAAACCAAAGAAAAAGCAATAAAAAGGGAGAATAAAACGAATACTTTCTAAAAATAAATGAAAAAAAGGAGAAAATAATAAACTGTAAAAACTATCTGTACTAATGGCTCTTGCTTCTATTCACAGTGCTTTTTGTCCCATTGATAGAACAGCATTATTTTTTTCTCATACTAGAAGACCATTTTCTATTCTTAAAGCACAAACTACTCGATTAATATCAACATATGTACATATTAGTCCTAACTTTCATTGTCTTGATATTCCAACTGTAATACTTACAGAACCTAAAATTCCAATG